ATGTAACAACCTCCCTTTTTCCCTCTGAAAAGGGCCCAGCCCAATTAGGCGTTCCCGAGAGGACAGCAATCAATTCCTTGAGGTAGAACAAGGTATCTCTGGGAGGAGGGGCCCCACCTGGGGGGGGGCAGGAAAGCAATGCACCTTGGCCCCAATCTCCCCACTCTGTGATTGTCTTGGGGTGATGGAGGCTGCTGAGGAAAGAGAAGCCCCTGGCACCCCAGCTCACTGTTAAGCATGTTGGGTAGTAACAGAGGCCTCACAGCTCCTAAAAGCCAGGAAAGCTCACCCACCCCTCCCGAGTATTTTTGAAGCTTCCCAGGAGCCTGTGGGCAAAAAGTACCCACAACCTAACCACACCTGCAGGCTGAGGAGGTATATAGTATCTTAGCTGAGAGAAAGCTGGGCAGAGTCTCTGCTCCCCAAATCCTTGTTCTAACCCCTGTAATAAGACTAGAAACCGGACTCGGTATTCTTTGGGTTTGGAGCATAAGGTATTTGGACAGGGGCTGTAAAGAACTCTGGGACTGCTCTCTGCAGCAAAAGAATTCTGTGAGGTTGGTGGGAAAGGAATGGGGACAGAAAGAGACCGTGGGAACTTATCATCACCACAGCCTGCTTGTGGAGGTGCCTCCTGCCAGTGTGCTGGAGGAGCATCTCAGACTTGTCACCCTTGGCCTCTGTGAGCAACACGTTTGGCCTCCTCCCTGCCTCCACATCCTCCACACCCTTGCTTCTTCCCGCCTCCCACCTGCCAGGCATGTCGCAAGACTCTATTGACCAATGTTTACAGAATGCTCCAAAGAATGATCGGGTTGCCAAATCCCTGAGTCATCTGGCCTAGTCACCCTTGGCTCCTGGTCTGGCTTTCTCACCAGAGCGGAGCTCGTGTTCGACAACATTGCTCACCAAGCCTCACCAGCCAGGAGGCCGAGCCATTCTGCAAAAACAGTGAGGAGGGAAAGAAAGACGCCTTTCGCGAGTGCCTGCTTCTGATACAGGCAGGACTGCACCCAACCAAGTATCACAAAACACAGTTGTGGGGAGCACTCGCTTTTCAGCTGATGGAGGAGAAGAAGCAGGAAGGGTCGATGGGCTTGGCCCAAAGTTAGAACTAGTGATGGAATCAAGAGTAGAAACTGGTTCTTTTCAGCCAAGTTTCTTCCAAAGCAGAACCTGGAACGAAAGCTCCTGGGCAAGGAATACCTTTGAGGGTGTGATGCTCGGACAGAGGGACACCCAGGGCAGACACTGCTGAGATCCTACAGAGCCATCTGAGCAAACGTATTTTTAAGTTTAACATTGTGTGTGTGTGTGAGAGAGAGAGAGACAGAGAGACAGAGAGAGACAGAGAGAGAGAGAGAGAGAGAGAGAGAGAGAGAGAGAGAGAGAGAGAACAAGTGAAGAGGCCAGGTGTGTCAAATCTTTAGAACTGAAGTTATAGGCATTTGGGGGATGCCCAGCTTGTTACATGGGAGCTGGGATTTAAACTCTGATGCTCATGATTACACAGCAAGACCTCTTAAGTATTGAGTCATCTCTCCAGTCCCATCCGAGAAAAAAAAAATTGCAGTGTATCTCAAAATGATGCTCTACCAGGGGAAAGGGGGAGAGGATTCGTCCATGTGCTCTGGCCCCAGGTCATGTTCACAAGGCACAACCCCTTTGTACTTCACGGTTCACACACAGGGGTAGGACTCCTCCACAGAACTGGGCACCACAGCAGAGCTAATCAGAAGTGCCACAAAAGGGCTGAACACTGGACACGTGTCCCACCGCACCATCTGGTATGCTGAGGGCCTCACATGAGGTCACTAGGGCACTCCAGGGGAAGTGAAAAGTGAATCACAGCCCATGCCGTCTGTGCCTTCATGTCACAGCTATTTGTCGCAAGCTGTACTAATACCAGCTTAAGAGCCAATGAGGAGAGCTCATTGCTCACAGGGAGCTTACACTCTACTGGGGACAAGAGGACTCGGACAATCAGCAGCTAAACAAACCAGCAAGCACCTGTGCCGTAGCAGGCTCTTGGCTAAACACCGAGAAAGCCCAGAAGAAAATGCTTCCCTGTTGGCAAGTCTAAGGATGGAAGCACCACAATCCGATCAAAGAAAGTAGCAGCAGTGACTGGGGCCTGCCCACATTCCTCTGGAGGACACAGAAGGGACACCTACCTCCAGGCTGGGGGGCAGAGGGCATCAGCAAAGGACGCCTGGGAAACATGAGACACGGCCTCTGTGAAAGGCCTTATGGCAAGAACCAGGCACAGATGAGAGTGTTCTAGAAAGAGAGGTGGCACAGGTTAGAGCCCAGAATTCTCTGGAAAATGACAACTTCAGTATTCCCAGTTGACTACAAGGTACTACCTACAGACGCTGGGTGGTTTTAAAAAATGCAGTGGAAGCTAGGCATGGTGGCACACACCTGTAACCCCAGCTCTTGAGAGCTAGAGGCAGGAGGGTCAGGAGCTTAAGGTCATCTGCAGCCACATAGTGAATTGGAGGCCAGTCTGGGCTATAGGAGACACTGTTTTTAAAAAGGAGGGAGGGAGGAAGGGAGGGAGGGAAGAAAGAAAGAAAGAAAGGAAGGAAGGAAGGAAGGAAGGAAGGAAGGAAGGAAGGAAAGAAAGAAAGAAAGAAAGAAAGAAAGAAAGAAAGAAAGAAAGAAAGAAAGAAAGCCAAAAGAAAAGCAGGTGCAGACAAGACACAAAGGCTTGGGTGCCTGCTACTGGAGAGCTTGGATCCAGTTTGGAATTTCAAGCTGAGCCTCATTTAAGTCTGACTCCAACTCGCTCTTAAATATCTCAAGCACGGATGAACTGTCAAACTCTCTAGGACAAAAGCTGGCAAGTGGGGCTACAAAGGAAGGCTCAGAGACGTAGGAATAGCCCAGAATGGCTGGACCAGAGCAGCATGGGTCACATGTCAGTAACTCCACTCTCAAAGCTTGATGGGACATGAGGCCTCACCCTTGGTCACTCTACCTCATGCACTAGGCATGAGTTCCTCCATCTATCCCGTCTCTTCAGCTCCCAGCTCAGCCCTCCCCTCTACAGCCTTGGCTGTATGGTAGTGCTCTATGGATCACCTCCTAAGTGTCAGGACCCCCGGGACCCTTGGGTTCAGGTGAGGTGCCTCTGGCCCTCCTTTGGCTTGTGACTAATACCCGCCAGGGCTTTCCAGCTGAACCCCATCAGCAAGAACTAATACCAGGACAGCAACTGGCAGCTGGCTGCCTCTCTCACAGAAGCCTGTCACATCCATCATCCAGGCAGGAGAAGAGCTTCCTGCAGCTCACAACTGCATCCTGCAATTCCCCTGCAGAGCCCTTGTCAAACTGAGCCCCTGGCTTCTGCTCATTCTTCACAGACTCCTGAGATGATCTGCGTGCAGTCAAGAGCAACCCCCCCCACACACACACACACAACGGTCTACTACTCTCAAATTCAGAGTAAAATAAAATCCAGCTCCGATTTTTCTTGTACCTGAGATGACCCACGCCACACTGCACAGGTCCACAGAGGTAGCTCTTGGCACCTTGCCCTATAGCCAGTACCCAAATACAAGACTCACTCAAACCCTGGTATTTGAATTTCTTCTTTGAACTATTCCCACCTCGTCAAAATCCCCTGGTCCTAGATCTCAGGGAATTTGGGGTGTGCCCTTTATGGTGACATTGTTTTGTTCTTCACATCAGACTATGAGCCAGGGGATCCCAAAATTATGCCTCAAAACTAGACCAAGGACTCTAAGGAAAACATAAGCTAAAAGCAGGCGCGTGGCTAAGGAAACATGACACATTCTCTAAATCCTGCCACACTCCAGTCCTTCCACAGCCAAAAGAATGATGACACAAAGAACATTATGAGCCGAATAGGGTCCCAAGCTGTGGGAGAGAGACACAATTCCAGGACACACACAGACATAAATCAAAGAGCCCCACCATCCCCAGGACGTCTGAAACTGCCTCCTGAGCAGGAAAGCCAATCAGAATCCTTCAGAAGGATTGGGGCATTCACCATCCTGCAGTCACCCCCACCCTCACCCCTCAGCTCTGTCGTTGGCTCATGTCCTGACAATCCCTAGGGACAACTAGGGGAGGGAGGTGCTCAGCACAGTTCCAGGGGAGAAAACTTGGGGTTCATCGGGACTCCTTTCTTGCAGTCAAAGAGCAAAGGACCCAGAGCTGACTGCTTGCGACCTCATGGTATTCCACAGCAGCCAGGACAAACAGCCACCAACGCCATCCCGAGGCTCCTGCTAGGAGCCTACAAAGCACATCTGTCTTCATCAGTATAGACCCTTCAAAGAACTCATCTCATTTTAAAAGAAAACAAAAATAGGTAACCCTCCCCGTTTCTTGGAGCTCAGTGGCAGACTGTCTGATCCACTTCATTACCCCCTCCTTCAGGGGCCCATTCATTTCCACCTCATTTTCCTCCTGATTCTTTTGTTTTGCTTTTTTTAAGACAAGGTGGCATATAGCCCAGATTGGTGTCCAAATTGCCCCAGAGCTGAGCATGACTTTGAATTTCTAACCTGCCTGCCCTCACCTCTCAAGTACCAGAGTTATATTCAGGAGCCACCACACCCAGAATTCCTCCTGGTTTTCTTTTCTCTATCCCAGCCTTTGCCGACAGGGTGAGCTCAGTCTAACTCAGAGTTTCTTCTGGTGGACGGATCTCAATTTATGGTTTCTCTTATTTTTTCTACCCCTCCCCTAAAGATCAAAGCAGCCAGCCAACTGCTAGTGATCTCTGACTGCCATGTCAAAAGAAAGAATCCTTAAGAACAGTGGAATGGGGAGGCAGCTCTCTGGGCTCTGGTGGAGCAGTCGGTGGAATAGTAGACAGGAATCCTCATTCGGCTCTGAAACCTTCCTGCCTCACTTTATTCCCTGCCCTGCGCTAGCGGCCTCTACAAAGATCTTCGAGTCCATTATTCATATCTTTGAATCGCCCATGGTATCTAGCATAGCAACAATACAAAGTATACACTCACCAAATCGTAGATGTAAGGAATCGTTGGGAAGGTCAGAGCTATTCGTCGCGTGCTGGATCACCAGTGTGTTTCAAAAACTGCAGAATCTTGAAGGAAGACTGGGCCATTAGTTCATGCCCCACCCATCATTGGACTCTTGCATTTCCAACAGAGCTCCTTCCTTCACTGGAAGGGAGGCCAAGCCCCACAGTTCTGCTCACACTGCTCCTAATTCCAACCAGACCACTGTCCACGCCTCCATTCTGGCCTCTGACAGTGAGGAAGCAACCTAAAATAAAAATAAGACAAAAAGATCCTAAAGGCTGTGGATTTAGCTCAGGGGTGAAACACTTATCTAGTGTGCCCAATGTTCCGGGTTCAACCCCCGGCAACACACATGCTCACACACACACACAGTCCCTCAAAACTTAACCCCTTCCCCAGCTCGCAGAAGTGTTACTAAAGCTCCTCAAATGGCACAGGGGAAGGGATCAAGGACAAGCTTCTGTCTCCAGCCTTCAAGTGTTCAGGTGAGACAAGAAGGCAGGAACGGAGCAGCAGGATAACCTTGAACTAGATTTTACACAAGTCCTTCTGAAACAGGGATCAAACACCTCTGAGGCTTTCGAGAAATAAGAGGCTGCTAATGGAGTCAGAACACTGGCTGGGAAATTCTTCCTCACTGGCATATTGTATAAAGGGAGAAGCAAAGATACTTTATGCGAGAGAATCATCGCGAACAAATCTCTTTGGCTCTGTAACCAAGCACTTTGGGGACTGGACCACTGAGCTAGAAGCATCAGAGATAGCACTTTTATCACTGTATTACTGGGTCCTGCAAACATTTATTTATTTCCAGAAAGGCTGTGTTTTCTTAGTTACTGAGGGAGAGTTGAGGGTGAAACCGAACAAAAGCTCAGGCCTAGCCTCCCCAAAGTCCTGGACCCACAGTATCAAAAATTAAGATATGAAAATGAAATAAGTGAGGGGAAGGGTCCCAAACAGGCATGGTGATCATGGTTGCCATGACAGGCTGAGAGAGCTCTTCATCCCCTGTAAGCTCTATGTGAGGTAGTACAGAGTCTCTAAGGGCAGATGTGTGGGCTCCTCAGGAAATGTCAGGGGCATTTCCATCACCTGAAGCATAGTTCTAGGACTGAGAGCTTTGGCTTATGCTTTTTTCTCTCTTTAAGCAAAAAAGGAAAGGCCCATATTAAAAATATAAGTGGGGCCCATGAGATGGCTCAGTGGGTATGGATACCTGCCACAAATTCTGAAAACATAAATTCAATCCCCAAGACTCACACGATGGAGGAGACAACCAACCTCTCTGCTCTCATCTCGCATGTGTGCCATATGGCAGGAGTGCCCACACACCTAGGTAAATATATTGGTTTCTTTTCTTTTTTTTTTTTTAACATTTATTTATTTATTATGTACACAATATTCTGTCTGTGTGTGTGCCTGCAGGCCAGAAGAGGGCACCAGACCCCATTACAGATGGTTGTGAGCCACCATGTGGTTGCTGGGAATTGAACTCAGGACCTTTGGAAGAGCAGGCAATGCTCTTAACCTCTGAGCCATCTCTCCAGCCCCCCTCTTAACATTTATTTATTTATTATGTACACAATATTCTGTCTGTGTGTGTGCCTGCAGGCCAGAAGAGGGCACCAGACCCCATTACAGATGGTTGTGAGCCACCATGTGGTTGCTGGGAATTGAACTCAGGACCTTTGGAAGAGCAGGCAATGCTCTTAACCACTGAGCCATCTCTCCAGCCCCAATATATTGGTTTCTTAAAGCATTTATTTTTATTTTATGTGAATGAAAGACATGTATGTATGTGTACTGGATCATGCCTGATGCCCAAGCAGGTCAGAAGAGGGCTTCAGATCCCTTGGAGATATAGTTACAGACAGTTGTGAGCTGCTATGTGGGTGCTGGGAATTGAAACAGGGTCCTCTGGAAGAGCAGCCACTGTTCTCAACTGCTCAGACAGCCCTCCAGCCTCTGTAATATTGTTTTTAATGTAAATACTTTCATAAATTGCAAGATACACTGCTCATGTAAACCTCTACCTCCTCCAGGCTCAAGCTCCTCCAGGGGCCCACTTATTCCCACCTCATTTTCCTCCTGACTCCTTTGTGGGCTCTTTCTTTTTCTTCCTTCCTTCCTTCCTTCCTTCCTTCCTTTCCTCCTTTTACTCTTTCCTTCCTTCTTTCTTTCTTTTTCTTTCTTCCTTTCTTTTTGATACAGGATGTCTCTACATAGCCCTGGCTATCCCAGACCTCAGAATATAGACCAGGCTGGTGTCACACTCAGAGATCAGTCTGCCTCTGCCCACTGAGCACTGGGATTAAATGCTTCACCTAGTATTTGCTTTTTGTTAGTTGGATTTTATTTGTTTGTTTTTCAAGACAGGGTTTTTGTTTGTTTGTTAGTGTGGGGTGTGTATGTGTGTGTGTGTGTGTGTGTAGCCTTGGCTATCCTAGAACTAGCTCTGTAGATGAGGCTGGCCTCAAACTCACAGAGATCAGCCTCTGCCTCCCAAAAGTGCTGGGATTAAAGGAGTGTGCCACTACCATTTAGCTTTATTTTTATTTTTAAAGACAGAGTGGCATATAGCCCAGGCTGGCCTACAAATTGCCATGGAGAGGACGGCTTTGAATTTCTGACCTACCTTCCTTCACCGCTCTTGTGCTTTATGTCTGTGTTGTACTGAGTATGTCTGTGTGTGTCCTGGAACAGCTTCTCTCCACACCACAACTCGGGACACTCTTAGGCCCAAAATGTTCTCCGTGCCTCCGTTCTGTTAGCTATAGAAGGACCCTAGTATGATTCCAAGGATTCAGAGTCAGCCACACTCCCGTCACCTCATCTGCTCGTAGTCTATGGTTTCCTTAAGGCTTCTAGTCTAGTTCTGAGGCATGATTTGGGGAGCCCTCCCTCGGGTCCTGGCAGATGGCAGCAGAACCTTGGTTCTGGGATGGCCTTGGGCTTAGCTTTCCATAACGAAAAAAGAAAGACGTTAAAACAATAAAATGCCCTCCCAACAGATTCCACCTTCTTTGGTGGCCACTTCCTTCCTTCCCTCCTTTTTCCTTCCCTTCCTGCAGGAGCTACCCTGCCCCACCTTCCTTCCTGGAGAGGGGGACCTGCCCTTTCCTCTTATGCAGCAAGTGCCAAAGGATGAACAATGTGGGGTGTGTGTGTGTGTGTGTGTCCAGAAGAGACAGATGGGGTGCAAAACAAAGCAAGAAGCGAGAAGCAGGAATGGAGTAACAAATATTTAGCCCTAAGAGTGTGTGTGTCTCGAGTGTCTGGCAGGTTTCCAGTAGTTACCTTTTCTTGAGTTTCTAAGCAAAGAGACTAGTGATGACCACAAGAGCCACAGAATCCCATAGCACCACTCACAGAACCCAAATAACGTGATTTTAGAGTTGCAAGAGGAAAAAAGTGGGCGATGCAAAGGAGAGTCAACCTAGGTGGTCATTTGCAATCTTTCTGTCCCACGGGGCCCTGAGAAAAAGTAAGGAAAAGCGGGAAGAGGCAGCGGGAGAGATGTCAAGAGTTTCTGGAAGCCTTGCAAGGCTGAGGATAGAAAGAAGGTTCGATAAAGGGGGCAGGACCACAGAAAAGGTAAAGTGGAGTTGAGAAACATAAAGAGCCGGAGCAGTCGCCCTCACAACGACTGTGCAAAGCTACCAAAGAGACAGACTGGGGGAGGGGCCAGATGGAGTCCTGGTTAAGACGGCTTTGGAGGGAAGGCCAAACTTGAGGTGGCAAGCACAAAAGACAGCACTCCAGGAGGCAGCTGAGAGGGGTGGGAAGAAGGGAGCGAAGAAGACGGCAGGAGGCACAGGAATCAAAGGGTCTGCTAGGGAAGGGGGGTACCAAGAAAGGCGCTCAGGAAGGCCTTCTTTGTCTGGCGAGGGCGGCGGCGGGGCAGCACGTGCAGCTGGGAGCGCCCGCGAGAGGCTCGCCGCGCGGGGGGCGGCCCCGGCGATCAGCGGGAACCTCTTGCCCGCGGGGCCCGCGCTCCAGAAGGGGCGCATTGTTACGCCCTCGGCCGCAGCAGATTGCCGCTGTCCTGCAATACCCTCGCACCCTGGCAGCGCGCCACTGGCACGGCCCGGGGGTTGGAAATAACTGCGCCGTTCCCATGGCGACCAGGCAGCGACCGCCCCCGCCCCGCCCGCCGCGCACCGCCGGCCCCTCGCCGCGGCCGCCTCCCCCTCCGCCCGAGCGCTCCGGTAACCCTGGCAACGGCGGCTGCGGCTCAAACTCCGACCGCGGCCGGCCCCGCCCCCCGCCCGCCCGCCTGCGGCGCCTGGCCTGCCTGGGCCTGCGCTTCGGCTGGGCCGCACCAGGGCCCGCCGCGGGCGCCGGCGCAGGAAGCCTCCCCTCCCCCTCTGCCCGGCCAGGAAAGCAGAAGCAGGAGGAAGTCCCACGCAAGGCAGGTCCCTGTGCAGCCTCCTGACCTCCAGGCGCTTCCCGGGGGTCCCCCGCCCTTCCTCCTGGGATGGGAAGGAGACCTTGGCTCGGGATCCTGGTCCTGCGAGGCCAGATGAAAGGGACTAAGGGGAAATGCCGCCCAATGCTGGAGCGCAGGGCCAAAGCAAGTATTGCCCTTGGGATTTGGGATCTTCCTGCATTCGTCGGAACGCGGGCCTCCAGTCCTTGTCTGGGCACTGGGTGGGTGGTCCCAAGTTCCTGCTTCTCCCTGCTAAGATGTTCTCAACCCTAAGGTTTTGACCAGTTTTGACCCTTGCGTGTTTTGAATATAGGAGTTTTGTGGACCCCATGGTCTCATGCTACCAAGGTATGGGTCAGGATTAAGGTCAGTGTCGGGGGCATACCCTCGCTTCCAAGGAGCAGAATATACTGACATTTGGAATGTGAGCTCCTGTAGGTCAGATGGCCTAACACTTGGACGTTTCTAAACTAAATTAATGTTTACCTTAGGGAATAGATACAACTAAATCTACAGTGTCTCGTTTGTCCTCGAACTATAATAAAATGTCAACACTTTGCATTTGTAATATTCTTCAAAAATAATTCATTGCTGGATGGTGATGGTGCTTGCCTTTAATCCCAGCACTCGGGATGCAGAGGCAGGCGGATCTCTATTGTGAGTTCGCAGACAGCCTGGTCTACAGAGAGTTCCAGGACAGCCAAGGCTACATTGAGAAACCCTGGCTTGAAAAAGCAAACTAAAACACACACACAAAATTTTCTCGTCATTCCAAATGTATAGTTTTTGTTGTTGTTGATTGGTTTTGCTTTTTACTTCAGACCACAAAATACCAGGGCAGGAGGAAAGGACCCAGGAAGAGGCACAAGATAAACACTTCAGGTGCGGTCATAGTGGAAAGACTTGGTCTTTTCCAGGTTTGGAGCCCTGTGGTCCTTTTAAGAAGATAGGGCAGAGAGATCCTGGCATGATGGAAAGACTTGGAAAGTAGAGTCAGAGGACTCTGGCCTGAGATCTGGGCCTCGTTTCCTCATCTGAAGCTGTAATGATAGCAGAAACAATGGATGGGACAGTCTTCAAGCCATAGGATACACAGCGTGAATACTTTAGTTATTGAGGCGTCTGCCAATTGTTTACAAGTCAAGATTCACGGACTGTACTTGTGAAATGGACGGGGGAGGGGGGTTGATCTGAGGGTTCTACCTGCCTATGGATCCCCTTTCCTACCGCCGTGGACTGAATTGTCTATCCAACCCATTCATATGTCAAAGACCTAGCGTCCCACGTGACTATACCTGGAGTCTGTAGGATATAAAAGATTAAATGAGGTCGTGAGGGTGGGGCCCTAATCTAACAGAACTGTGTTCTTACCAGAGAGCGCTCTGCCAAGGAGAACAGAAGAAACCAACTGTGAGCATGAAGGGCTTGTCGGGGAACTCCATTCTCATGCTGGACTCCCAGCGCCCAGAACTGTGAGAGAACACGTTCTGTGTGTACTGCTCTGTGAAGGCAGCCAGAGCAGCTAAGACAAATACGGCTTCCCTTCAAGCCTTTTAAGCGCCCCTCCCTACCACCTCCACCACCTGGCGTTGTGCTCAGCACGTCCACTGTTGTCTCATTTTTAATTCATAACCGTGAGAGCTGGAATTGGCGAGATTTATTTTTAAATGACAAAGTTAAGACTAAGAAAGATTAAATGACTGAGAGTCAGCCCCAAGGAGCAAATGGGGACCTGGGTCACCCCAAACAACAGCCGGGCAGTCCCAAGTCAGTGCCAGATTCTGAGGGTTTCTTTCTAGATGAATGTGGTTTAGATGTAGGGAGGGCACAGCCAGGTCAAGAAAAGAAACATGGGAGCAAATCGTTACAGAAGTGTTTTCTGGGGTTGATTGATTCAGTCTAGGAGGAGGAAGCAGGGAAATGTCTTTGGAGGGAGCCATGAGTACTGCTGGAATTGGGGTGCAGTGGGGGAAGGGCGGATAAAGCCCAGATGCCTTCGGAGAGAGCCTCTTCATCTCCCTGCTAGAGACTCTGCTGGCCTCCCTTGAGCTCTGGTCACAGGGGAGAATCAAGCTTAGAGAGCAAGGCAGAGTCCTGAAGGAACTCAAGTCCCTAAGGAAGCAATAGGAAACTCTTCAATTAGGCTCATATTCACACGTCTATAGTAAATTGCCTTTGTTTGTCAGACCTGGGGTCTCACAAGGGTGAGTTTATTACGGCTCTAACCATTTGCAAGTAAGTGAGAATGTGCCTTAATTAAAAGGTAAAAAGTGCACACCTCTGGCTGATGGGGTCTTACCCCTTGGTCAGTAGTTTCACAGAATCCCCGGCTCCAGAGGCAGACTTTCTGAACCGCTTACATGACCATCCCTCACAATAGGAATGCAGATAATGACCTTCATTAATGAAGGAACAAACATCTGTCCCCTTTCGTGAGCCGTGAGCCGCAGTACAAGCCCTTACAGTTAGAGTCGGGTGGGAAGATTCTCCTGTCTTCTGTTTTCTTTGTGGGTTCGATTTGCATACTTGTGTTTATCACAACTTTAATCCACTCTGCTTTTCAAGGATTTATCCTGTCGCAAGGCTCAAATACTCTCTCTAGGGGAGGGACTGTAGGTTAGGAGAGAAATGGACCCAGCAGGGGTGTTTGTACTTTAGAGACCCTCCCCCAGAAACTGAGTTCCCCAGGCCTGCCCACCTCCCCAGGGTACTCATTCTGAGCACCCGGCCAACAGCCAATTTAAGGTCTGGCTCAGGGATTTGAGCTTCTCCCTGCCTGGCACTGACTGAACGCTACCACCTCTACCTCACTGGAGACCTCATTAGGACTTGAACTCTGGTCTTTGTTCCTTCCCAGCGGGTTCTTTTCAGAGGGAAAGGTGGAAAGAGGAGGGGTCAGGTAAGCCCAAGGCTCCCCGAGCAGCAGGAGTCCAACAGCCTCTGAGATCCGGAAAGCGAGTAAACAAGCAATTACTGGAGAGAGCCTAAAGCTGCAACCAGAGAAGCAGCTTAACTAATTCGATTCTACTCCCTGCCGGAGAGGACCGAGCCTTCCTCAAACCCTCCTCCTACCCAGCTTCGGAGGGCTAATTCCACCAGCCTCCGTCAGCCTTTCAAGTGAAATTCCATCCCGGGCACTAGCAGGGTCCCGGTTGTAAGACAGACCTTTACCAAGCCTGAATTCTCGGCTTGGCCGCTGTCACCGCTGCTCTTTGTTATAAGGAGACAGAATACAGTGCCGGCACGCTCCCTCTTCCCAGAGCCTATGTCCTTTGGGTCTCTCTGCTAGAGAGGAGTGCAGGAAGAAGGGGGTGACTCAGAACCTGCAGTGGGAACCCAGCTGGGCTGCAGGAACCCCCACATTCCTCCCGGTTAGCTCGGAGCAGCCTTCTGCTACTAGACTAGACCTCAGTTTGTTCACTTCCGCTGCTTCTGCTGACATCAGTGCAGATCTTGTCACAGAAAGGCCTCTGCCTTGATGAGACAGGGTTCTTGCCCGTGCTACCTTCAGAGACTTGATATTTTAGTAGCGTTTCAGGAGAGGTAAGGGATTTCCAGACACTAAAACATGTCCGTGAATAACAACAAAACAAGACATACAGTAGGTCCCGCTGCTGCTTTTGGCCCCAATAATTTCTTACCTGGATTTTTTTTTCTTAAAAAAAAAGTCTCAAGGCCCTCAAAATGACTCCAATCCTGAGAAATACAGTTGGTCCCCAAAACCCACATGGTGGAAGAGAAGGACTCCCGTTGACCTCCCCATCCATACACGGCAGACCCACATCCACACATGTCTAGATACTTAGCCTTGGCAGGTGCCAAACCTGATCCTCCTGCCTCTGCCTCCCTGGATTACTGACCAGCCTCCAACTGCCCCTGTCTGCCTTTGCCATCGCTCCTCCCTCCCTCCCTGTGCTAACTCCCATTTCAGGTAGTGTTAAACCCAGGTGTGTGTCCAACAGTTTCTTCAAAGCCTCCCTTGACTCCCAGGGCCACTTCTGTTTTAGGCAAGCATCCCGCTGTCTTTTAAGATGAAACCCGTGCTCCCCGTCTGGCACACCTAGTCTTTGGTAGTCTGATCGTTCTTATTAACCTGTGAGTCCCTGCTCCACCCCCCATCGTACACTGTGCAGAACTCCGCTACCACTCTCCTGGCCTTGGGACTTTGTACGCGCAGCTTTTATCAGTCTGCAATGATTTCCCTATACTCCTAACTTAGCTATTCCATCTGGAAATCAGTATAAAAACGATCCCTCCCTTCTTTAGCACTCTCTCTAGGTTAAGCATCTCTCATCAGAATTCCTGTATCATTATAGTATTCAACCTGAATTGTAATAATCAATTTTCCCATCCTTTCCCCTGTCTAGACATGGAGCTCCTTACTCATCTTTGTATCCAGTCCCTGCATAGACTAGGTAGTGATGGTTGGAGGGGAGGCTGCCCAGCAGACAGAGGACTCATAGAGGATATGGGATGCCAGAGACTGATAATATCACCAAATTACTTTGTAGGATGAGTAACCCCTTAGTTATTAGTTAGAGCTGGAGGAGGGGAGTGTTGAGGCAGAAGGGAAAACAGACTGACTTGAGTGTTTATAGTCAAGTGTGGTGACAGTCGAAAC